CGGACTTTAGTCGTGGTGGTGAGGGGACGGGGTAGGGACGCTCTCGGACTTTAGTCCTGGTGGTGAGGGGACGGGGTAGGGACACTCTCGGACGTTAGTCGTGGTGGTGAGGGGACGGGGTGGGTACGCTCTTGGACGGTAGTCCTGGTGGTGAGGGGGCGGGGTAGGGACACTCTCGGACGTTAGTCCTGGTGGTGAGGGGACAGGTAGGGACATTCTCTGACGCTAGTCCTGGTGGTGAGGGGACGGGATAGACATTCTTGGACGTTAGTCCTGGTGGTGAGAGGACGGGATAGACACTCTCGGACGTTAGTCGTGGTGGTGAGGGGACGAGAAAGGGACACTCTCGGACGTTTGTCCTGGTGGTGAGGGGACGGGGTAGGGACGCTTTCGGACGTTTGTCCTGGTGGTGAGGGGACGGGGTAGGGACGCTTTCGGACGTTAGTCCTGGCGGTGTTGGGACAGGATAGGGACGGTTTCGGACACGGGTCCAAGTGGTGTGGGGACGGTGTAATGACACTCCCGGACACGTGTCCTGGCGGTGTTGGGACGGAGTTGCGACACAACCGGACGCTGGAGGTTGCAACGAAGCAGATATTTTACCTCTACACTGCACTTCTGTGGATGTGCGAAGTCGCGAAGAGTTTTTTCCCTTACGTTATTCCCAGCATCAATAGCAATTTCATTTCCTTGTGAACCCCGCGGTGGCAAACGGTTCTCTTCTCGGCGGAAAGCAAAAAATTAAGCACGATGAAAGGAATTTACTTGTATATTTAATGACGCATGCAATGAACTCTCTTTAATGTTCCTGTTGGCAAATATCAACACAACTCAATGTCTCCGCAGTTCTAAACTATGGCGTGTTCCATTACGTAAATGCTTTTTTCTGATGGAAACTATAAAGTGTCTGAATGTTCAATGTAAAAATGACAGCCTGCGTCAACAACTTTCGCAAACATGGCAAATAATGCAAACACATAGATGAGCATAAAGTACATACCCACGTGCGTATATTCAAACTAAGCCTACCTCAGACTGTTGTCATGTCCTTTATAAGCATGTTTGTTGAACTCCCTTACAGCGTCTTACATCGACATACTGATCTCTCTGTCTTAAAGTTACGTGACGTCCCTTACAGCGTCTTACATCGACATACTGATCTCTCTGTCTTAAAGTTACGTGACGTCTCCAACAGTGTCTTACATCGACATACTGATCTCTCTGTCTTAAAGTTACGTGACGTCTCCAACAGTGTCTTACATCGACATACTGATCTCTCTGTCTTAAAGTTACGTGACGTCTCCAACAGTGTCTTACATCGACATACTGATCTCTCTGTCTTAAAGTTACGTGACGTCTCCAACAGTGTCTGACATCGACATACTGATGTCTCTGTCTTAAAGTTACGTGACGTCTCCATCAGTGTCTTACATCGACATACTGATCTCTCTGTCTTAAAGTTACGTGACGTCTCCATCAGTGTCTTACATCGACATACTGATCTCTCTGTCTTAAAGTTACGTGACGTCTCCATCAGTGTCTTACATTGACACACTGTTCTCTCTGTCTTAAAGTTACGTGACGTCCCTTACAGTGTCTTACATCGACATACTGATCTCTCTGTCTTAAAGTTACGCGACGCCCCTTACAGTGCCTTACATCGACATACTGATCCCTATGTCTTAAAGTTACTTGACGTCTCCAACAGTGTCTGACATCGACATACTGATCTCTCTGTCTTAAAGTTACGTGACGTCTCCAACAGTGTCTTACATCGACATACTGATCTCTCTGTCTTAAAGTTACGTGACGTCCCTTACAGTGTCTTACATCGACATACTGATCTCTCTGTCTTAAAGTTACGTGACGTCCCTTACAGCGTCTTACATCGACATACTGATCTCTCTGTCTTAAAGTTACATGACGTCCCTTACAGTGTCTGACATCGACATACTGATCTCTCTGTCTTAAAGTTACGTGACGTCTCCAACAGTGTCTTACATCGACATACTGATCCCTATGTCTTAAAGTTACTTGACGTATCCAACAGTGTCTTACATCGACATACTGATGTCTCTATCTTAAAGTTACGTGACGTCTTTTACAGTTATGCACAGAGATACTTCTCTATCTCGAAGTTACACAACGTCCCTTACAGCATCTTACATCGACATATTACTCTCTCTATCTTGAAGTTACGTGACGTCCCTCACTGTGTCTGACATCGACATATTGATCTCGCCATTTTGAAGTTACAGGACATGCCTTACAGTGTCTGACATTGGCATACTGATCTATGAAGTAAATAAAGACATGTCAACTGTGTCAGACACAACTCAGGAAGTCAGACTGTTGTATAATAAAACTGGTAAATTAACCGATGTTATCATGTCAGCCTAAGACGACGCTGAATGAAACGTAGGTGAAACGGCTAAATGATCATGTCAAACCTTTTACAAGCGTGCAGCGTTATTCATCTATCACATGAGATAAGAGGGAATGTAAGTTATACACGTGGACGAGTGGTTACTCCAGTGTCAACAAGTACTGTCTGTACAGCGGGAGGAGCGACCAGCTCGTGATGGTGCTGTTGAGGAGAGTCAATGGGTGCCCGTGTTTACACAGCCGTCGTCCAACCTCTACCTGTGTTATATCACATTTATATCGACACAACATGTTAGGTATACATTCCCTCAGCCTATATTATAAGTTGTAGGCTTATCACGAGGAAAGTATGGCTTGCCCTCAGTGTGGCCGTATTTTAATATCGTAGTTAGAATCCCACAGCGAATTTAATGCTGATCGGTGTCCAGTTCACACCTACACGAGTTGGGGAAAGAATGTCTACACTTATCACAACAAGCTAAGAAAGCCACATTTAGTCTTTTAAGGTTTATTAAGTGTTATAAGCTCAATGTAAATACGTTCTTGTTCGACGGAATGATCGCTCCTATCTTAATCTACCCTCTGAAGTTTGGGGATATCAGCACATAACGTGCATTGAAAGAGCACAGTTATAGTTTTGTAAACAAATTGTAGGCATTTCTAGTAATACAAGCTATGATGCTGTACTCTGTGAATTAAGAGGTGAGGTAAGGTGAAATGGGGTTTAACGTCGCGTCCAAGATTGTGTGTGTGTGGCTGCTTGTACTAGTCCGGACTGATGCCGATTTATAGTGCTAGCTCACTGAGATACCATGCCGCAGTTTAACATGAATACCCCACTCAGACACAGTATACTGACTCCGAGCCGACCAGTCCTTGTTTTAGCCCCTTAATGCCGAGCGCCAGACAGGGTAACAACAAGTACCATCTTTTAACGTCTTTTGGTATGACGCGGTCGGGGATCGAACCCCGGACCTTCCGCTCTCCGGGCGGACGCTCTACCACTAGACCACGGAGGCGGTTGTAAGGTGCAAGAAGAGTTTGCATTCGTATAACCATTTAATCCACCCGAGTATCAGTATCAACACCATTGCCTAGGGCGCACTATAGATTTCCTTTTATTATGCTTCCACCTCCACCTGGACTTCAAACAGTTGAAGCGGTCGGGTATCCTAGTGGTTAAAGCGTTCGCTCGTCACGCCGAAGACCCGGGTTCGATTCCCCACATGGGTACAATGTGTGAAGCCCATTTCCGGTGTCCCCGTCGTGATATTGCTGGAATATTGCTAAAAGCGGCGTAAAACCACACTCACACGCTCTAAACTGATGAAGCAATTCTGTCATTAAACAATTCTGAGATGAAGGTTCTTATACAACAGTGATGTATTATTGCTCCCGCTGACTAAAACACGTTTTGCGAGTCATGTAAAGATGTTGGTATTCTTGATGGACGACAGTTGGGAAACAGGTCTTCAGCACTCCACGCACTTCCTCCATCATGGGATACCAGCATAGTCTAACATCCTCTCACACAGAGCTCTTCCCGTGTTTCACCTTCAAAGACCGATTAAATCATTCCAGAAATGTTATGGTAGACACTTAGAGGAATTTACTAAATGCGACACGTAGCTTGTCAACAAGGAGGGCGATGCTATCCCGTACCATGGCCTTTACATGGAGTGTTCACACCTCCTTAATCGCTGACACGTACTGAAGATTGTGTGTGTGGCGGGTGCTACAGGTAGAGCAGGGCATGCTTACTCATTTCTCCAACACCGTTGACCCGTGAAGATTCCGGGGTAGAATAGGTCTTCAGCAACCCATGCTTGTCGTAAAAGGCGACTAACGGGATCGTGTGGTCAGGCTCGCTGACTTGGTTAATGCATGTCATCGGTCCCAATTGCGTGGATCGATGCTCATGATATTAATCACTGGATTGTCTGGTCCAGACTCGATTATTTACAGACCGCCGCCATATAGCTGGAATATTGCTGAGTGTGGCGTTAAACATCAAACCAACCAACCAACCAAATCCAACACCGGGTGTCATCACTGGAGCACCTTTAGAATACAGTACCACAACTTCTCACTTTGCTTTCGTAAACTAGCGCTTGCTCTAAAATGCGCAGCCGCAGGCTGTAAACAAATACTCAAAACTCTCAACACCACAGGGCGTATTCAATGACATTGCGTGTAGAGATTGATAGCTCACTGTGAGGACGTCACAGGGCATTGTTTCGCCGGTGTGACTGGCAACAAAATACTACAAATTACGTCATAGGGTATGATCACGTGTTTGAAAGGTTTGTGGTACTGTATTCTAAAGGTAGGCCTCATCACTTATTCTCAGTGATCCATTAATATGATTTTCATGCCTATTTTGATTTTTACGTCCTATGGAATCTGTTTCGGTAGATATTCGTATTAATACTGCCATGCTTATTTGGGTCATCATGAACTAAGTGTGAAGCTCAATCCTTACAGGGCATTAGTTGGGATTGTTCATGCTCAATATAGAGAGACATATTAACTAGACAGCTCATCCGAAATAATACTTTAATTGACAGATTATTTAGCACGACTCGGTTTAATCTGTGTTGTATCTGTAATTTCAGGTGGCTACCAACCTCGAAGAGGCCGCGTTTACCAAACAGTCAGCTAAGAATGCCTCCATGTTTGAATGGTGGAACTACCAGAACGCCACTCTGCAGAGGATGTTTGCTAGCATCGCAGACATCGGCACCGCCGCCATGCCGGAAGAGACCAAACTAGAGAGGGTGAGGAGAACTATATGCACTGAAACCCCGTTAACTCGAAGTAATAGTGATCTTCGAATTATCCAGTGTTACAGACCAGTTTGTTTTGTTGTTTAATTCCGCTGTCAGCAATTTTTCATTTATATATGTATCCATATAATCGAGTCTGGAGCAGACAAACCAGTGATTGATATTTTGAGCAACGATCCAAATGATACTTGAGATGGAATATTTCATCTGTGACAAGTAGGGTTTTAACTGGAGCTGTAACAAGATACTTCGTTGTGACACGATACTCTCTCTTTAATATGTCAAGATGCGAGTGTTCATGTACGTATATTTATACGTACATGAACACTCGCATCTTGACATATTAAAGAAACACATGAAATGAATAGCAGCCTTACTGAAATATTTTTAGCAGAACTGAGTCAATTCATAAAATACAAGCGACAAAACACTTGCCATAGTGAAAAGAGATCTCAATCGATTGTACGATTCATGAGCATGTGTCTATTATCAAGGTGTAATGATACCAGGTGTTCGCGAAAGGTTGAGCCTATCCTGTCGCACCGGTTGCACCCGTCACTAATACATGCAAAGGCAAGTCAATTGTTCATCTGAAAAGACACGGAAACATATGGTACAAATCAAAATAGGGAATTGCATCGGACATGATTTTTGCTACTGATGAGTCAAATTTGAAACTGTCCTCCAAATATCCACCATAAAACGTTTTGAAAGACGTTGGTTTCAGATCCCACACATACAATCAGCAGATGGTATTTTTTGTCTTTGCCATATTACATGTCACTCTAGTATGTTCTTGTATCGTTTTGAATCGATACATAATACCGATACCATGCTGGTATCGTGTCCCAGTGTGTCGGTGTGTCAGGAAAGTCAAAAGAACTGCCCAGAGTTGCGTCCTTTTGTTCCGCAAGAATACTCTGGTCGAATCCCAGTCTCGTCTTGAATATGTGTTATGGTTTGCTAGCACCATCCTCGATAACGGTGTTAATCGAAACATCGCTGAAGTGTAATATGAGTTGACCACGTACACTACATTGCCAGCAGTAATGGAATACAATGGCGTTGTTTTCAGCTGAACAACGTGCTGTCTGAGATGGAGGGGATCTACAGCACGGGCAAGGTGTGCGTGAAGGACGATCAGTGTCTCGAGCTGGAGCCAGGTTTGTTTGTTTATTTGTTTGTTTGTTTAACGCCCGACTTAGCAATATTCCAGCTATATGACGACGGCCTGTAAATAACCGAGTCTGGACCAGGCAATCCTGTGATCGATATGGCGAGAAACGATCCACGCCATCGGGATACGAGGACGCGCAATCAACCAAATCGCTGAGCCTAACAACCAGCCTGGTTGCCGTTGTACAAAATAACCTTAGAACTACGACCAACGTAAGTCTATGTTAAGGTGTGACCTTAGCGCTAAGATCGATTTGTACAACGGCACTGATAACCTTAGAACTACGACCAACGTAGGTCTATGTTAAGGTATGACCTTAGCGCTAAGATCGATTTGTACAACGGCACACATAACCTTAGAACTACGACCAACGTAAGTCTATGTTAAGGTATGACCTTAGCGCTAAGATCGATTTGTACAACGGCACACATAACCTTAGAACTACGACCAACGTATGTCTATGTTAAGGTATGACCTTAGCGCTAAGATCGATTTGTACAACGGCACTGATAACCTTAGAACTACGACCAACGTATGTCTATGTTAAGGTATGACCTTAGCGCTAAGATCGATTTGTACAACGGCACACATAACCTTAGAACTACGACCAACGTATGTCTATGTTAAGGTATGACCTTAGCGCTAAGATCGATTTGTACAACGGCACACATAACCTTAGAACTACGACCAACGTATGTCTATGTTAAGGTATGACCTTAGCGCTAAGATCGATTTGTACAACGGCACACATACCCTTAGAACTACGACCAACGTATGTCTATGTTAAGGTATGACCTTAGCGCTAAGATCGATTTGTACAACGGCACACATAACCTTAGAACTACGACCAACGTATGTCTATGTTAAGGTATGACCTTAGCGCTAAGATCGATTTGTACAACGGCACACATAACCTTAGAACTACGACCAACGTATGTCTATGTTAAGGTATGACCTTAGCGCTAAGATCGATTTGTACAACGGCACTGATAACCTTAGAACTACGACCAACGTATGTCTATGTTAAGGTATGACCTTAGCGCTAAGATCGATTTGTACAACGGCACACATAACCTTAGAACTACGACCAACGTAAGTCTATGTTAAGGTATGACCTTAGCGCTAAGATCGATTTGTACAACGGCACACATAACCTTAGAACTACGACCAACGTATGTCTATGTTAAGGTATGACCTTAGCGCTAATATCGATTTGTACAACGGCACACATAACATTAGAACTACGACCAACGTAAGTCTATGTCAAGGTATGACCTTAGCCCTAAGATCGATTTGTACAACGGCACACATAACCTTAGAACTACGACCAACGTAAGTCTATGTTAAGGTATGTTCTTAGTGCTAAGATCGATTTGTACAACGGCACACATAACCTTAGAACTACGACCAACGTAAGTCTATGTTAAGGTCTGATCTTAGCGCTAAGATCGATTTGTACAACGGCACACATAACCTTAGAACTACGACCAACGTATGTCTATGTTAAGGTATGACCTTAGCGCTAAGATCGATTTGTACAACGGCACACATAACATTAGAACTACGACCAACGTAAGTCTATTTTAAGGTATGACCTTAGCGCTAAGATCGATTTGTACAACGGCACACATAACCTTAGAACTACGACCAACGTAAGTCTATGTTAAGGTATGACCTTAGCGCTAAGATCGATTTGTACAACGGCACACATAACATTAGAACTACGACCAACGTAAGTCTATGTTAAGGTATGACCTTAGCGCTAAGATCGATATGTACAACGGCACACATAACCTTAGAACTACGACCAACGTAGGTCTGTGTTAAGGTATGACCTTAGCGCTAAGGTGTACAACGGCACACATATCCAATTTTGTCTCTAACGACCAGCAATATTCTAACCCAGATCCCTACGGGGCACAGTATGGGCATCAGGTTAACACATAATACGATACGATACTAGGGTACAAGTGGGCTATTCTGAACACACTAAAGCTATATATCTGCACACGCTATAGTGCAGAGGCATGTCGTTATAGAATAAGGGTCATTCGGCTTCATGGTCACTCGACACCCCAGAGTTAAGTATGCTAACACACACTAACCTAAGAAGCAGGTATGTTACATACATACTCACTATAACACTTAAAGAAGGGGGTACGGGTGGCCCAGTCGTCTAAGGCGCTGCGATTCGTCGTGCGTCCCTTGGACACGCCAGAAACCTATGGTTGTGGGTTCGAATCCCGGTTCGCCGCGATTATGTTTCTAGGTTTGTCAGCACCATGCCCGTGCTCGTGGGTTTCACCGAAGTTGTAAACGTCTGAGACCTACATCACTTCGGGCTTTGCCCCCACGTTAAGCTGACACGCCGTGATATAACTGGAATAATGTTAAAAGCGGCGTTAAAACCAAACTCACACACACACACTTAAAGAACATACACATTTGGAAGGTTGTGGTTGCAATACCCACAGCTATGACAGATGAACCACAGATATATTAAAACATCGAGTCTGCTTAACTTCTGTTGTGAGGTATTCAACATACCATGGAGAAAGTTGGCATACTGCACACAATAATGTTGGGATCAAGTTCACATAGTCTCTGACTGTACTGGACCGCCTCCGTGGTCTAGTGGTGGAGCGTCCGCCCGGCGAGCGAAAGGTCCGGGGTTTGATTTCAGAAAAGATGGTACTTGTTGTTTCGCTCGGCATTAAGGGGCTGAAACAAGGACTGGTCTGCTCTGAGTCAGTATACTTTGTCTGAGTTGGGGATTCATGTTATTTGCAGCATGGGGGGTGTATCTCAGTGGGCTGGCACTATAAAATCGGCAATAGTCCGGATTCGTACAAGAAGCCACACACACACACACACACACACACACACACACACACACACACACACACACATACACGTGGGTGCACGTCGCTATAAGTACAATAATCTTGGACTCGACGTTAAACCCCATTTCATCTCACGTCACCTCAAATTGTACTGCACCAGCCCTCGATAGATCTCACACAATTTACAAGAGGTTGGGTGTACTTCTCAACACAGGGTAAAGGGCATATATACGCAGTGCACTATGTCAGACGGAGCATGCAATGACGTGATACTCGATGGTACACGGGTAATCTGTCCCCGGAAGGAGATAACATTATGTGTCATGTCGTTCTGCAGGAATCACTCGCTTGATGGCTACGTCACGTGACTACTGGGAACTGACAAAGACCTGGCGCGGATGGAGGGAACAGACGGGAAACAAGATGAAGGACCTGTATGCTGAGTTTGTTGTACTAAGCAACGAGGCCATCAGGGCAAACGGTACATATAGTCGAACCTCAATATTTCGAACTCTTTTGTAACGAATGCATCTATATCTCGAACTAATTCGATGACCCCTCTGATAATTCATGTCTCATAATTATAACTTTTTAATACCGGATTATTAGTTAAATTCATTTACCATATCAACTGGAATGGCTTGAGGATCGTGAGTTCGAATGTTTGTTGTGTTTGATATAGTGGATATCATCCAAATGACAAATTAATTGGCCAGGATAGCATTTCTTCACTTATGTTCTCAGTTATTTATGTCAAAATTACACGACATGAAGGAAGTCGTGTTCTGTGTCCTATACACCTCTTATTGTCGGCTTTATACTCAAAATTGAATGAAAAATAACCCCACGTTATTTTGTGGCGAATAACCGCACGAAGTGTATTTATACTTCAGAAATATACGACGAGAGGGAGTTTTTTTATCGTGCAATAAAACACTGCAGGGAGAATAAGTTCTGAGGGGCGCATTATTGCATAATAACCAACGACCACAAGTCGTTTATTTCTTTTATGAGATCTCGACATTATATACAGCCTCTTCAAGGGTTTTAATAATATATACAAGCTTTAAATTTATATTTGGACGTGTTTGAATAATGATAACTCACTGGATACTCGTCAAAAAGTGACAACACTTTTTTATGTACAGGGGTGTTAAGTTTGGTATTTACCCAATCAGCTTTCAATTTTCACGTCGATTATCTGTACCTTTTCTCCCAATACAAATTATCATATCTCGCCCACTCTGGGATGCGATCTTTTGGCCATTGTGTTTATCTGCGTTGCCAAGCTACATCTACGGGGAACAACTCATTAGACATTACCCTTCTAAAAAATAACGTCGTCCAATTTACGATGTCAAGATACGACCGCATGTTCGAATCTCCAGAAATGACGTCATGATAGAACAATGTTTCACCGTGAAATACCACGCTTCGTTATTCATTGTTCCTAGCGATTAATCGCGTAGCTGTCGTATATTACAGGATACAACGATACTGGTGCCTACTGGCAGTCGTGGTACGAGAGCGACACTTTCGCCCAGGACGTGGAAAGGCTGTTCCTGCAGCTGGAGCCGCTGTACATACAGCTGCACGCCTACACCAGGAGGAAGCTGAAGGAGGTGTATGGAGAGCAGATCTTCCCCAAGGAAGGACACATTCCAGCCCAACTACTGGGTAGGTGTCACCCTATCATTTTATTCCAAGGCGTAAATATACCAGACAAGGGAATTTTTGATCCACAATAAACACATATGGATATTCAAGCCCATCTACGGGGTAGGCGTCAACAAAGAATTTCTTATCATTGTCGTTTTGAGTAGAATGGTGTCCTGTCTTCCAGGCAACATGTGGGCCCAGTCGTGGGGCAACCTACTCGACATTCTCCAGCCCTTCAAGGACAAGGAGAGCGTTGACGTCACCCCACAGATGAAGGCACAGGTAAGGGACCCACAGGGGAGATAAGTCAGGAATTTTAGGGAGCGAGTGAGTAGTGTTTTGCGCTGTTTCCAGCAATAATCCAGCCACATCATGACTTGGGAACTATACCCTTCGCACATTGTATCCATTTTTTTACATTCGACGCGACGAACCAACGCTTTAACCATTAGGCTACACCAGCTCTTGTGTTGCATATATAGGGCGTCTGAACGTAGTTGCGTATCACGGATGTTGTTTCTCATGGATTGTTTCAGAACTATACTGCACTGAGGATGTTTCACACCGCGGACGACTTCTTCCAATCACTCGGTATGAAGCCTATGCCACAGCCATTCTGGGATCTCTCCATGATAGAGAAGCCTAAAGATGGTCGCCCAGTCGTCTGCCACGCGTCTGCCTGGGATTTCTACAATGGCCGGGACTTCCGGTGAGTGTAAATATATTTTCCATGAAACCACTACTAGTACGGACTTCCGTCTGGTGTCAGAATATACGTAATCTCCTGGAACAACTCTTGTGTGGACTACCGGTGTGTGCTTATAATTCTGTATGTTAGCTTGGGACGCCCTTATGGTGTCGATATAATCGCTTGCATCATTCCTGGTGTCTGTTTACTTCTGTAGTAATCTTTGAAGATACTTTCTGTTGATATCAAAGGACATGTTTTAATTTCCTTTAGGCAACCGGAATTGCTTTTTTTAATTGTTCTGCACATACTAGACATGCACTTCCTGAAGATTCCGGGGTAGAATAGGTCTTCAGCAACCCATGCTTGCCGTAAAAGGCGACTATGCTTGTCGTAAAAGGCGACTAACGGGACCGGGTGGTCAGGCTCGCTGACTTGGTTGATGCATGTCATCGATTCCAAATGCGTGGATTGATGCTCATGATATCAGTCACTGGATTGTGTGGTCCAGACTCGATGATTTACAGACCGCCGTCATATAGCTGGAATATTGCTGGGTGCGGCGTTAAACAACAAACCAAACCAAACCAAACCAAAACATGCACTTCAAGATAATAGGTGTGAGAACAGAGTGAAGCCCTGTTGCAATATTGTGTAGGGTGAAGCAGTGCACGGACATCACCATGCTGGACCTGATCACCACCCACCACGAGATGGGACACGTGGAGTACTTCCTCCAGTACATGCACCAGCCTGTTGTGTTCAGAGCGGGAGCTAATCCAGGTAACGCTTTGTAATAGAAGTGAATGCTTCTTGTTATACACCGTGTAAGCAATATTGCAGCATCAGCACACTGTCAGAATAAAATGTAATAACAATATATAAATGCAAACGACAAAACCCTTTCCATAATCGTAAGCAGAGTTCACTGTACGAGTCCAACTATGTGTTTATGATTCACTATCAAATAATAATGATACCAGGTGTTCGCGAAAAGGTGAGAGTATCCTGCTCCGCCGATGGTCAATGATAGCGTGAACATCACATAAAACACCAGTCAAAATCCCAGGAAAAATACATGAAAACCGGTTATATTAAACGCAGAGTATATTAATTGTAGAGTAAGTGCAGTATATTTTGATTAGTTTCAGTAATACAATAATAATTTGTTTATTAGTCTCATTAACAGAGATTCTACGGAATTTCGATGCGTGGGTGTCAAGTTTTGAAAATGTTTTCTGTGTTAGAGTAATAAAGTTTCAAAGCAAACGTACACTAGCAGAGAGCGTGTAATTTCCTTAAAGGATAAGTCATTTATGATGCTTTCTGATGAAGTCTGTACAGTCCGATAATAATACTTTGTTTGTTAACGTTTGTAGATTAGCTCCAGAACGTAATATGGGTGATCTGTAAAAGATGTGGAATGTGCACTTTTTGACAACAATGACCTGCCTGAAGGCGGGACACTTTTAGTAAATTGTTCTTTTGAAATCAAAGTATTTGAATACGGCCATCCTTCTGTTGTATATTAATAGGATGTGCATGGTGTCTAATGAACATAATCACGTGTAAGCAATATTTGGAAATGTTTGTTTGTTTGTTTGTTTGTTGTTTAACGCCACACTCAGCAATAGTCCAGCTATATGACGGCGGTCTGTAAATAATCGAATCTGGACCAGACAATCCAGTTTTTGATATCATGAGCATCGATCCACGTAAATGGGATTGATTAGGAGAGACTTATGCTGTAGATCCATGCTGTTCAATCCCCAGAAGTGTGCATAATCTTGTTAGCATGATGTTACGAATCTGTAATATCTTGTGGTAAAACCAAAGAAAAAAATTCAAATGTCAAGAAATTGTCATTTTTAGTTTGTTGACCTCTAAGACATGCATATGCGTTTTCAAAACTAGTGTAATTAGTATTTTTATAGTATTAAAAGGAGGCAAATGTGTGTTTGATTTGCAGGATTTCACGAGGCAGTGGGAGATGTCATGGCCTTATCAGTTGCAACCCCAAAACATTTACAGTCAATTGGCCTTTTGTCTAACGTGGAAGAGGATCGAGGCATGTTATTTATTTCTGGATGAGGACTTACTTAGTTGTTTCTCGTGTATTTCCTAAAAAAGTATTTCTTTTAAAGATGTCTTTACCGGCAGAACATCCGTTAAAATTACCACATATTTGTAGCATATTATGACTTTATCAACATTGCAACAACGTTGCAGAGAGCGACATCAACTACATGTTGAGCATGGCCCTAGACAAGATCGCCTTCCTCCCGTTCGGCTATCTGATGGATTTATGGAGATGGAGTGTGTTCAGTGGGGAGACGCCACAGAGCTTCTACAACACCAAGTGGTGGGCCCTCAGGTAAGTCATGAGGTGAGGTGCAGGTGAGAGACGCCACAGAGCTTCTACAACACCAAGTGGTTGGCCCTCAGGTAAGTCATGAGGTGAGGTGCAGGTGAGGGACGCAACAGATCTTCAACAACATGTCCTTGGCCCTCAGGTAAGACGGGGGAATATACACAGGTGAGAGACGCCACAGAGTCTCTACAACACCAACTGGTGGGCCCTCAGGTCAGTCATGAGGTGAGGTGCAGGTGAGAGACGCCACAGAGCCTCTACAACACCAATTTTGGACCCTAGCGTAAGTCGAGAGGTAAGTTACAGGTAAGAAACGCTACAGAGCTTCTACAACACCAAGTGTGGTTGTCCAGGTGAGTCATAAGTTTCTACAACACCAAGTGGTGGGTTCAGGTATGACACGCCAGAGAGCTAGGGGAACGATGCAGGGTAGAGACTACGCAGCGTGTCTATAGCATCAAGAGGGGGCCCCCGGGTAAGTCCTGAGGTGAGTTTGGACGCTTCAGAGCTTCTACAGTAGGAAGCTGTGAGCCCACAGGGGAGACGAGCGGAAGTACACAAGCTAGAGACGCCAAATATACTAGTAGTCAACACCACCAGGCTGTGGACCATCTGCAGAGGGGTAGGTTAGCTTGGGTGTGTGACCAAGTAGCGGGGCTTTTAAAAATACAATCAACCGGTCGTCAAAGATATGACAACAAAGACACCTGGTCCAGTCATTGGAATCGCTTCACATCTGTGACCTCGAGTCCCTGCTGATGTCTCAATGCCTGTTTTCAGATGCCGATACCAGGGTGTATCTCCTCCGGTAGAAAGATCCGAAGATGACTTTGATCCCGGCGCTAAGTACCACATTCCGGCCAACACACCATACATCAGGTGAGAAACAACAGTGTTATATACACCAGGTACTCCATTCGTATTCAACTGTACAATTGTGCTGAACGGATGGCCCAGTCCTCCAATGCACCGCAAATCGAGTTGCGTCCCTTGGATACGCTGGACACCCATGATTGTGTCCCTGTTCGACCTGGTTATGTTCTTAGGTTTGTCAGCACCATGCTTGTAGTCGAGGGTTTTACCAAAGTGGACATGCATCACTTCGAGCCTCCCTCCTGCATTTCGCTGAAGTGATGTAACTGGAATACTGTTCAAAGCCAACAAACGCACTCACTATACTTTTTGTAAAGTACATGACGTTTATACTCACTATACAATACCTGAAGTACATGACGTTTGTAATCACTATTCAAATGTAAAGTACATTGCCTTATACTCACTTTACAATTTGTAAAGTACATTGCCTTCATACTCACTTTACAATTTGTAAAGTACATTGTCTTTACACTTACTTTACAATGTGTAAAGTACATTGCCTTTATACTCACTATACAATTGGTAAAGTACATTGCCTTTATACTCACTATACAATTTGTAAAGTGCATGACGCTCACACCCATAGGCAATAGGCATAAAACACCGCACTTATGCTCATTATACAGAAACAACACGCGTAAAGTCTCTGTCTGTACAATAGGCGAGGTACACCCACTAATTACATATGTTGTTTCAGATACTTCGTGAGTTTCGTCATCCAGTTCCAGTTCCACAAGGCGCTGTGCCAGGCAGCCAATCAAACAGGGCCGATGCACAAGTGCGACATCTATCAGTCAAGGGAAGCTGGCTCTCTCCTCAGGTCGATATTCATCTAAGAATTTAGACAATAATTTCCTTTCTCTTTCAAAACCCTTCGCCGCGTTCATTTATACCTCAGGTATGCGTGTCGAACGTTATCACCAACAGCCATCAGGCAGGCTGATAATAAAGCAAGTTACATTCTCCTTTGTTTCCTTGCTTACCAACATTCACCCCATACAATATTCACGGGTCAGGAACTCACGTTTAAATATATCTCCCTTTCAGTCGAGTGCTGGAGCTTGGTTCATCTCGGCCATGGCCCGAAGTGATGCAGATCATTACCGGTCAAGACAAGATGGATGCCGGACCGCTCATGGAGTATTTTCAACCGCTCACTGATTGGCTGAAAACTCAAAACGAAGGGCACGAGACAGGCTGGAAGCACATGTGCCCAGAAAAGATACCAGTGCCCAGCTCCACAAGCCCTGTCAGCATATCACTAATGGCTTTACTGGCCACTCTTCTTCTGTCATCATTGTGACTTACATAATGTTGTCTGGTGTATAACAGGGCGGGCGATACTTACCTCGTGTGTACCCTCATTTTCAAAGGATCGTTGTAATATAACTGTACATAGGCGTTGTAGTTTCCACACTGTTGCATAATCAAGTTTTGTGTGAGCAGAGGAATAAATTGAGGCCCCCGTGTGACGATTATTAAACGCAGCCAAATCAGGTCAGCGAAACCAAAGTTGAATAGATTTCAGCTTTTTTGTTCCTTCAATAATGTTTCGGCACATATCGTATTGACAATTCTTTATTCGTATTCCCTATTCGAAACGTCACATTGAAAAAAAGAAGAAGTCGAAATAAAGTAAGTGACCTCTGTCTTCACTGTTACAACAACTTCTAAAGTGACACTTAAAGATATTGTTCAAGGTCACGTGTTGCCCCAATACAGATGGGCAGATGTAAATATGTCGACATCTGAATTGTGTCACGTCTACTTTGTTTGGGCTCAGTTTCTTTTCGTGCACAAACGCATAAAATAAATACACTACTGCTTTGAAACTTTTATTCAATAGCCATTCAACACAGTCCACACTCACAGCAGTCCTATTTTCGGCCATGGAATAACATTTTACGCAGTTAGAGTCGTCCAGCATGATTAAATAACATTATTCCAACTCTGTTCAGTTTCTGAATGTGAAGTTTGAGTGATATGGTTTCATGCTCGACACACGGTACACTGTCTTGTCTTTGGTTATTGTAATGAAAGAATTACGTATAAACTCATCCAACAGTGTGGTACTTTACTCTCGTTCTAAAATGCGCACAAAAGTTTGTTTTCCCGGGTTAAAAACAATGCTGTGGTTGTATATGTGATCTGTGTATAGTTGCTGGGTCGTCATATTGTCCGGCTGCATGCTACCAGTACATGTTACATTCTTCTGTGAATTTAATGATAACATAATGATGTCTTTATACATGGCATCCGCCATGATGTAATATTATGTACAACGATGTTTAGCTGTTTCATTTCCACGCTTAATTAACACGTTACACCTCTTTGGGATATGCAGAAGTAGCGTTGTGTCTGACTTCGTGATGTAGATGGGCTTTTCTCGAGCTGATGCAGTTGTGTGGATGCAGGATAGTAGTCCATCCATGTTATTCCTGTACAGTAGTACGTTTGTATTTTTGTATAAAACAAATTAAAGCAAATATCAAGATACACTTTGTTTCTTTTGTGTCAAGCTAAAATGTATTTCCAGAGCGTGAGCAATGGTCTGAAGCAGATGATATATTTTTACCTTGTATTTAATGTCTAATGTTAACGTCGTACTTTAAGACTGAGAACATAATAGTAATTTTAAATACTTTTCAAGCGTGCTCGTTGAACATAGGTCACCACTTCTAGTGTTTGCTCTGGAAACAGATGTATAAAGCTGCAGCAAGGGTTGGGGGTGTGGGGGAATGGGGGTTGTGTGGGGTGTGTGTGTGTGCTCTAACTGGGTCACACCCACAAGTCGTAACAATTCGAGAGACTGTGGAGACTTTATCTGATACAGATTCTAGACGTTAGGATGTATATACGGTTATCAATGCCGTGTGGCTTAATGTTCGAATTCCAAACATTTATGCATTGTCAGTTTCATAGGAAGAAGTATGTTTGGGAATTACGGACAGGTCATTGTTCTCAACAGTCCTAGTAAGTTGTGCATCAGGCTTGTGGTCGATGCATGCATTACAGCTTAAAAGTATACATACTACCGACAAAAAATAAGGGAATGAATGGTTGGAATGTAGCTATGGTTGAGGTGTGCATTTAAACTACCGTGACGTTGCATCTGAACATCTAATCACATTATGCACGGACAGCACGTGATGCAAGTGCACACAGGAGTCAAACTTCGCGCTTATGAGGGAACTCACAATCGCTAGTGCAATTGTACTAAGCACACACACAATGCCTCCGAGGCGGTACCAGAAAAACAAATATAATGGCGAATAGTGGGTATGATAGAGGAGGGGATGTAAACATCCCAAGTGTTTGGCAAATCAAAAAGTGTACTTTATCGACAAGGGACAAGTACGGGTGAGGTTGCGATGAGACCTTGGGGTGGCAGGCCTAGACAATCGACACCTAGACAAGATCATCCCGTTACCATAATTGCACTACGCAATAGATTAAAATCTGCTCGCCTGAAAGCAAGGCATCCTGTGAAGGGTGTGGCCCTAACAGCTTGCCATAGGCGGCAAAGATTGGGGTGGGCTAATCATCACCAGGGACAGGCTGTGCGCCAGTGACGTTACACCATGTTTACAGAAGAATCAAGGTTTTACCTCCGATTCACCGATGACAGAAAACATTGTTGGCGACGTAGCGGCGAGCGGTATGCCAGGGCAACAATTGACCATGATCGTTATGGGGGCGGTTGTGTCATGGTGTGGGTCGGTTTTACACATGACAGAACTGATTTGGTTATTGTGAATGGACATTTGACTGTCCAGCGATATGTTGACAAAAGTTTGCGTCCTGTCGTTCCATTCGCTGAAATTTTGAAATGCAAGATGACAATGCCAGGTCGTCGCCGATTATCTCCGACGAGAACGCATACGGACATTGGACTGCCCTCTAAGCTTCATTGACACGTCTGCAATAGAGCATCTGTGGGATGTTCTCGGGCGGAGGGCGTACGGACATTGGACTGCCCTCTAAGCTCCATTGACACGTCTCCAATAGAGCATCTGTGGGGTGTTCTCGGGCGGAAGGCGTACGGACATTGGACTGCCCGCTTAGTTCCATTGTCACGTCTCCAATAGAGCATCTGTGGGATGGTCTCGGGCGGAAGGCGTACGGACACTGGACTGCCCGCAAAGTTCCATTGACACGTCTCCAATAGAGCATCTGTTGGATGGTCTCCCGGCGGAAGGCGTACGGACATTGGACTGCCCGCAAAGTTCCATTGACACGTCTCCAATAAAGCAACTGTGGGATGATCTCGGGCGGAAGGCGTACGGACATTGGACTGCCCGCTGTGTTCCCTTGACACGTCTCCAATAGAGCATCTGTGGGATGATCTCGGGCGGTAGGCATGCGGACACTGGGCTGCCCGCTGTGTTCCCTTGACACGTCTCCAATACAGCATCAGTGGGATGATCTCGGGCGGAAGGCATACGGACATTGGACTGCCCGCTGTGTTCCCTTGACACGTCTCCAATAGAGCATCTGTGGGATGATCTCGGGCGGTAGGCATACGGACATTGGACTGCCCGCTGTGTTCCCTTGACACGTCTCCAATACAGCATCAGTGGGATGTTCTCGGGCGGAGGTGTACGCCAGAGAAACAATAACCACCCCAACGTGGCCTAGCTTAGGGCAGCTCTTTAGGCGGAATGGCGGCCAATATCAAGGGCCACCCTACGCAAGTTACTCAACAGTATCCATCTGGATGTGCATGTTTCGCCCAACATTGTGGACACACCAGATAGTGATCTACACGCCCTGAATTAAGTTTACAACCATAAATATCCATTACACCTTCACCATCATTTCATCAGATGCCTCGTCTTCTGTCGGTAGTACATATAGTAGTATAGATCAACAAACTGTTACAGCCGACGGTGTGAGGTGTTGATCAATCATCAACCAGTGATCTCCCATAGCAGAAACGATTATCTACAGACCACGTAAAACCACATTGACTCACCGGTTAGACTGAAATCAGAAGAGACCCTATGTCAGGAATACTTCCAAACGTATACTACTTAGAGGAAAGTAGTTCATGTTTGGTCCTGGTATTGTGTGTCGTTTGGAGCTTGTTTACCTACAGGTGACGCCAGTGTACACACACCTACCTGCTTCTATCAATCCCCGCTCAGTCTACCTGCGACGGCACACTCGGAGACATGCGTACACACCTCTGTCTCGCGCTGTTTAGCGCCGTCACGGTGTTTTTGACCAGTGGTCAACTGATCACTGACCTGGATCAGGCAAGGCAGTTCTTGAACGAGCAGGATGCCGAGAGTGCCCGCGTGTATTACAAGTCATCGGTCAAGACATGGGAGTATTACACGAACATCACAGACGAGAACAGAAATGCCATGGTAAGACCCGAATATATCTTTTGATCACATATAAACTCAGGGTGTATTAATGTATTGTTCACTGAACGTTTTTAATATTTATGATATTGAAGAAAAAATATTTTTTATTCAAAATTTCCATTTCAAATTCTTCCTTGTATTTAATGCTCTGTAAACACGTTACGGTGAAAATGTTACGTCTTGTTATTTTAACACCCGATTTGAAGAATAAAGATTAAATTCATAAGTAGATTTGGTTGGTTGGTTGGTTGGTTGTTTAACGCCGCACTCACCAATATACCAGCTATATAACGGCTGTCTAAATAATCGAGTCTGGACCAGACAATTGACATCACCAACATCGATCCACGAAATTGGGATGGATGACATGCATCAACCAAGTCAGCGAGCCTGACCATCCGATCCCGTTAGTCGCCTCTTACGACAAGCACAGTCACCTTTTACGGCAAGCATGGATTGCTGAAGACCTATTCTACCCCGAATCTTCACGGGTCTCATAAGCAGAGCTTACTTAAGAGAGCGACTATTGTTTTAACTTTCAGCAATTCGACCTAAATTACAACAAGAACACTAGGACTGACCGTCATACATTGTGGCTATGTGGGCAATCGAACCTGACATTCACTCTTTCGTCTTACCCCAATATTCTCAAGACGGCAAGTGACAAGTAGTCTATTGTATCCACAGATCGATTCGATAAACTACATGTCATCCTTATTATTGTCAAATTTCAGTTTTCAATAATATTGTATAATAACTTTTACTTTGGACTCTGCTTTGAGCACAGTTTTGTTTTGAAATGTCACTTTTATTTAGGAGAAAAATTTAATTATCACCTCAAACTAGAAGATATCGTTTGGGTGAGATAAAGCGATAGCACCGCCATGATGTTGTTGAATTATGTCTGAAAGAGGCGTAAAGTCATACTCACTCACTCACTCTACGACCTCAATCACTGGCCGTGTCCCATATTTCGTATGTTCGAGAATCAGTAACATCCTAAACGGTAGCTCGTTAATAAATAAAAAAACCCGATTATCCCAATATATTTTAAAAACATCTTCGATCGAGAATTATAATTCATGTTTTGTAGTCTCAATGTAAATATACATTATAAAATAATTTCACTCAGTAAATGCAACTAAACATTCATGCCTATCGCCACCTTCTTCTTGTGTTGCATGGCATGTTATGATGTTTGAGATGACAGTTGTTTACACGACATACCCTCCGCTATGATATACCCGACTTTACACGAAACGTTGTCAGAGAATATGTTCATATTTACATATTTACACTGACATCGGATACTGTTAAGAAGTGGACATGCCGGTATTCAGCTCACACCGTCTGAAAGTGGATATTTTCGTGTTTACATGACACTATGTTCATTGAATATATTGGCATTAGGACGTATGTGTGCGTGCGGTGACACTGGTTCTCCACGGCTTTAGGATCTGGTCAACATTGGAAACTGCTCGTACGCATAGTTTACAAGCCCGTTGTTAAGTGAATCGGGTGTGTGCTCAGGTACGTCCGTGCCATGGCCACACATCACACCCCCCCCCCTCCCTTATCCCTCACGACCAGCGCAATTTGCAGGGAACCTTTTCGAATTCGGACCTCCAACGGGTACAATTTCAACGGACATCCGTTAAGCTTAAATTTTAAAGCGACTAAATAACTCATCATGTTTGGCAACACAGTTTGTTTGTTTGTTGTTCAACGCCGCACTCAGCAATATTCCAGATATATGACGACGGTCTGTAAATAATCGAGCCTGGACCAGACAATCCAGTCATTGATATCATGAGCATCGATCCACGCAATTTGGATACGATGACATGTATCAACCAAGTCAGCGAGCCTGACCACCCAATCCCGTTAGTCGCCTCTTACGACAAGCATAGTCGCCTTTTACAGCAAGCATGGGTTGCTCAAGACCTATTCTACCCCGGATCTTCACGGGTCTTGTCAACATTGGAACAATGATACTTGCACGTGACTCAGCTTACCTTTGTTCATATTCTGATTTTACCGTCCTTGATTTTGGAGAAACACTATTCTGGATACAAACGTCAAAACGAAAGCAATAACAGGTGGGACCCATGTCAAGTGAAACATGAAAATATTTCCTATTCCATTCAATGTCTTGTACGTGTATTACAAGACGCCTTGGCTCGACAGAAACGTGCTGAATACAGGCTGCATCGTACAATGACATCATGGTAATATATTCTCAAGTTGTCAGTTTGTTTAATTGTCAGTGAGTGAAAGCGCGTCGTGTGTGAGACATTTACTCGTTTCATAACACCTGTTGTCATTGTAAGTGTATACAATGAATGCAGTTCTACATGAATAAGGAGCGACTTGGCGACTATTTCGTTTGGTCATGACAGAAAATGACCCATTTCTGATGGTGGCTAAGGACGAAACAAATAAGAAATGGTTATTCGATGGTCACATCAGACCATAAATTATGATTGGTTGGTTGGTTTGTTGTTTTACGCCGCACTCCAGCTGTATGACGGCGGTCTGTAAATAATCGATTCTGGACCAGACAACCCAGTGATTGATATCATGAACATCGATCCACGCAATTGGGATCGATGACATGCATCAACCAAGTCAGCGAGCCTGACCAATCCCGTTAGTCGCCTCTTACGACAAGCACAGTCGCCTTTTACGGCAAGCATGGGTTGCTGAAGACCGGATCTTCACGGGTTCCATAAATTATGAAGCCTAACAGACACGTATATATACATTAAAATACCTTAACTGTATCCAGGTTTTATACACATGGCTTATACGTGTATATGTAACAGTCAACGTCTTTAATCAGGTAATATGTTTATGACTGAAAATAACAGTCAATATGTACATTGCCTGAGTGAATCGGTCAGCATGCATATTGCCTGACATTTTCAGTCAATATACATATTGCCTGATTATAGACGTTGACCGTAATGCGTATATCTTTCATAATATGGGGGGCACGGGTGGCCCAGTCGTCTAAGGCGCCGCGATTCGCTGTGCAGAGTTGCGTCCCTTGGGCACGCCAGAAACCTTTGATTGTGGGTTCGAATCCCGGTTCGCCCCGATTATGTTTCTAGGTTTGTCAGCACCATACCCGTGCTCGTGGGTTTCACCGAGGTGGTAAACGTCTCATACCTGCATCACTTCGGGCTTTCCTCCCACATTAAGCTGACACGCCGTGATATAACAGGAATACTGACCACCCAATCCCGTCAGTCGCCTTTTACGACAAGCAAAGTCACCTTTTACGGCAAGCACGGGTTGCTGAAGACCTATACTACCCCGGAATCTTCACGGGTCTTAACCTACATAAGGGTTATGAAAAACGGTGATAGCAATTTCTGATCGGTGTGTGCAAATGCCACAAGAGATAGCTATTACATTAATATAGTATTTAATAACGCGTATCATTGTTCACACATCACGTTTCTGGTTGAAACGTGATGATAATTATTATGCTTATACCGATGTGTAGTTATTATTTTATGCCAATACCGACTTGATACAAGCAGCAGGAAAAGTCGAATGGGTCTGTCATATTCATTGAACCGTAAACACTTTCTGAGGTGAAAGTGTGACAACGATAACGCTGACGTTTGGTATGTTTTTTTGACAGTTGATTTGTACATACCACACGCATTCCCAACCAACGAGACTTAGGGGTTATTGTTAAAATTAATTTTCTCTATAACATTTTGTATCAATGTCAGCATGTTAAATTATTCTCATCTTTTAGAATAAAAAATCTTGGAATAAAGTGAAACCAAATCTGGAGTTCATTGACAATGCGAAAATATTTGACAAAACTTAATCATTATACATACACAGTTGGAATCCAGAGATGAAACCATATGTGGGGAGAATTTGTTTTGTTTGTTTGTTTGTTTAACGCCGCACCTAGCAATATTCCAGCTATATGGAACCAGACAGTCCAGTGATTGATATCATTAGCATCGATCCGTGCAATTGGGATCGATGACATGCATTAACCAAGTCAGCGAGCCTGACCACCCGATCCCGTTAGTCGCCTCTTACGACAAGCATGGGGAGAAAAGTAGATTTGTTTCAATGTGGCTTTTAAAGACAATAACTTGTAGCGAGTGGCTGAGTATGGTGGACGCTGCCCTTAGTATAATTCTATCTATATCACAGTAGGGGCACCATGAATAGTAGAGTATTTTCAACGTGTTATAAAAGTAACTCTATGAACATCGACATCCTCAGTAATATTGTAAACGCCTCATTTATCCTACAAACAAAAACATCGCATTTTACAAATACATTTGTTAGGTATTGTAGTTTCTAGTTGATTCAATAGAGAAAAACGCCCAGCACCGTTCTAAGAACACATATAACTACACCACGTAGCTTCACCACGCGTTCCGTAACAGGCGACCGCTTCTGTGGTCTAGTGGTAGAGCTTCCTCCCGCTTCATTCCAAAAGGCGTTAAGAGATGGTATTTGTTGTTATCCTGTCTGGAGCTCGGCATTGACGGGCAAAAGCAAGGACTGGACGGCTGGGAGTCAGTATACTGTGTCCGAGTTGGGTATTCATGTTAAACTGCGGCATGGTTTCTTAGTGAGCTAGCACTATAAATCGGCATCAGTCCAGACTAGTACAATCAGCGACACAAACACACACACACACACGCACGCACGCACGCACGCACGCACGCGCGCTATATAAGTGCAATAATCTTGGACGCGACGTTAAACCCAATTTCACCTTACCTCCTTAACACACAGGCAACAAACATATATTTACCAAAATTATATGAGTGGCGGCTGCTACCGATAGAGGTCCTGCTTACCCTTTACACGAACACCTGGTGTCATCACTGATTTTTTCGTGATCCATTCACATAATGTTCACCTCTATGAATCCGTTTCGTCGGACGATCGACTTGCTATTCTCTAGCGTTGACGTCGACATTACCTTACACAACACGTTCCTACTGACACAGCACCTCGCTTTCCTCACCCGCGAGAAGCTCTCACGAAACGCGTTGTGGGCTAGCATACTTTTGAGTGTTAGTGCTCCCCTCATCATCAAACAATATGGAATAACGTCATTCTCTATGCCGCCGCATGTACCACGCACTCTTGTATGATGTATTGATGCACGTTGTGTTCTATCCGTACAGGTCGCTTCCGATCTGATGGTGGCAGAGTTCACAAAGGACAGTGGGAGGAACGCTTCCATGTTTGACTGGAAGAACTTTCAGAATGAAACCATGCGGAGACGATTTTCAATATTGGCCGACATCGGCACGGCTGCTATGCCTGACAAGACGAAACTGAAACGGGTAAGAATCATCGTATATCAGCCAGAGCAGTTTGGTGTTGTGTGGTCAGGTGTGTGGTCAGGTGTGTGGTGGGGTGTGTGGTCGGGTGTGTGGTGGGATTGGGGATGGATGTGTATTCTAAAAGTAAAGATATTACAAAAGCTGTAACGAAATCATTTTTTCAACAAACACCCATAGAAAACGTACTTGTATACGTCTTTGTGATCTCACAATGTGCCCCCATTTTAAAAGAAAGGAAGCTTGAACACCTCTTCCTCGGATTGGCAAGGATATAGCGATCATTTAAGATTTTACAGATGCAAACTTATTGGTTAAAGTATCAAAGAAAACGTTCTCGGACTTCCATTCCTTTAGAAGAAAAATATATTCCTCTCAATGACAGGCAGATGCTGGCATACAGGTATTCTATACCTCTATGTTGTTTTCAGCTGAAGAATGTTCTGTCTGAGATGGAGGAGATCTACAGCAAAGGCAAGGTGTGCATGAAGGACGATGAATGTCTCGACCTTGAACCGGGTAAGCTGTTAATTCCGTGTATTCCAGTCATAGCCATATCGGATGCTAGTTAACTCTCAACATTTAACAGATTTCATACAATGATTCAAAACAATAAATCAACGAATTAGTTTTGATACTGGAATCAAGCCACCTCGTGTACAACGATGAGATGGTCATCTGGTTTCGTCAATATGAAACGTACATTTCAGTTGCAGTTTGAATATTTGGATTATTTCAATAAATAAAAGCGACAAAACATTACCATAACCATAGACAGATGTACCAAAATCAGAGTCCATTGCACCATTCCGACTATGTGATAAGCATCTGCTTATGATTCACCATTAAATAGTGATGATTGCAGATGTTCGCATAAAGGTGGGCGTATTATGCCCCACAGGGCACCCGTCACAAACACATGCGAAAGCAAGTCAACTGTTCGCCTACAATAACATGGGGACATATGATACAAATCAACTTGGGAATTCCATAGGATATCATTTATTGTCACCCTTTGTTCGCAGGCTTGACGCGTCTGATGTCGTCATCCCGTAACTACGAGGAGTTAACCAAGGTTTGGAAAGGATGGCGAGACCAGACAGGGAAGAAGATGAAGAACCTTTTTGCCGAATTTGTTTCCCTCAGCAACGAGGCCATCAGAGCAAATGGTGAGTTCCGCCTAGCATACATATATGGGCATACAGTAAGTGGATTGTTCTTAATTGGATTGAATAAATTTGAATAAACAAAATCCGTAAAATCTATGACATGGTTTTGGCAAAATAATAAGCTTTGAAGTGTGTGAGGAAGAAAGTGTTGAACGCCGTTTATATTCCCCGTACTGTCGAAAAGTGTATGCATTTGGGTCCTATCAATTAAGTTCATATACCGTCCTTCTTTGATTGCAATAGGGTCGATATGTACAACCTTGAAAGAAGGATGTTCAAAGTAACAAAGGATGAAGACCCACTTGAAGGGTTCCAAAGAAAATAATTCGGATTGTCCAAGGAACGTAGCTCTCAAATATCGAGATGTGGCGTCTTTGACAACAGGGTCCCCGTATGCCTGCTACATATCCGTATAGTGACGTTTCACGCTTACCCACAATCATAACGGAGGACCGTCAGTCAAGCCATGTCTTCATGATCTATTCAGGCTATGCAGACACAGGTGCCTGGTGGAGATCATGGTATGAGACCGAGACCTTCAGGGGGGACTTGGAACAGCTGTTCTTGCAGCTGGAGCCGCTGTACATACAGCTGCACACCTACACCAGGAGGAAGCTGATGGAGGTGTATGGAGAGAGCGTCTTTCCCTCGGGGGGACATATTCCAGCGCACCTGCTTGGTAGGTATTTTGGCTCATCAAGTGTGCACATCATTTATGAAGAGGAAAAGTGTACCTATTGTCAGGGAGAGATAATTCCGATACTAACAGCTCATATTGATAGACCAGCTGCTATGGATGATTATCCCTTGAAAACCCAATGAAAACCCAACATAAACATATCAATTTGGACATATGTGATCAATTTTGCTTGAGAGAAGAAAGTATTTTTTTATTTCAATCTCATGTTGTTGATACTCATCCATCTCAAACAGGTTTGATAAAATTTCAGAAAAAGGTTAATGAAGAAAATGAAATATTTATCCCAATGATGCACTGTTTCAGGCAACATGTGGGCGCAGACTTGGGGCAATATACTCAGCATTCTCCAGCCTTACAACAAGCAGAGTGTGGATGTCACCCCTCAGATGAAGGCTAAGGTTGGTTACAAAAGTGACACAAAGTGTTTGATGAAATTGCGATGCCCTGAGATGAAAGGCGATGATATTGGTCAGATAAATTGTGTACCAAGTGTGGTGTGGTGTGGTGTGGTGTTGTGCGATGCGGTGCGGTGCGGTGCGGTGCGGTGCGGTGCGGTGCGGTGCGGTGTGTGTGTCGTGTAAAAAGTAATTTCACCAGAGAGTATTTGTTTAAATCCGTTTGCAGGGCTACACTCCACGCAGGATGTTCGAGACATCCGAGGAGTTCTTCACGTCGCTTGGTATGGAGCCAATGTCACAACTATTCTGGAAGAATTCAATGATAGAGAAACCAAAAGATGGCCGTTCGGTCGTCTGCCACGCGTCTGCCTGGGACTTCAGCAATGGCAGTGATTTCCGGTGGGTACAAGTTTAGGCACAAGTATGCAGTGGATTATCAGTTTCAGATTCATGAATAAGTATTCAACGACGATAGCACTAGTAATTAAATAGGCATAACTGAGCAATAAAAAAATGAAAAGCTACTTATGAATAAAAATGTAGGACTTCTTTAAAATACTGGCCTTATTTGACAGGAAGAAGATTAAAATATAAGCCTAATAAACCAAATTCCACATTCATAAGAATTCTCTGCCAAATATATCATGAGCATGTGTTTGTGAATCACTATCAAATAGTGATGATACCTGCCCCACTGGCGGCACCCGACACAAACACATTCAAAGGCAAGGCAATTGTTCACCTGAAAACAATTGTATGACTTAGGACTAATAAGCTCATACAAAATTGAGAAGCAACTTATGGATACAAGTGTATGACTTCCGAAAATAGTGGCCTTATTAAAGAGAAACGAGATTGAAATACCAGATATCTTTTCCTTCTATTTGTTCCAGGATAAAACAGTGTACGGACGTGACCATGGAGGACCTGATCACCGTCCACCATGAGATGGGGCACATCCAGTACTACCAGCAGTACATGCACCAGCCTGTCGTCTTCAGAAGCGGAGCTAACCCCGGTATGTTGGACACTCCCTGAGGGGCACTAGGCTCTTGCCAACGTGCATCCCTAGCAGGTTGTATCCATGTCGTTCATACATCGCTTTGTCCACTAACTGAAACTTGCCTGTTTTTTTAATCGATGGAACAATTAATGCTTATTACACAGAAACATTGGCTAATTACACTAAGTACACCATCTAGACCTAGGCTGTGGAGCTTAGTACCCCTTTAATGAGGTACTTTTTCAATCTAGAACAGACGTAGATGAGTGAGTAACTGTCTGTTGGGTTGGTTTTACAATGTGATTATATCCCGGAACGTCGGCATGTGGGAGATGCCCAAGATATCGAAGTTTTAGTTCTTACTACTTCAGTGAAACCTCAAACACAGGAATGGTTGATTCGAAACTGCTTTTCGAACACACGATAACGGATCCTTACACGAAGGAGGGAAAAAACTCTGCCCCGAAGTAGATGTAGGTAAAATTCGAATAGATGGATCAGTTTTTCCATCAGAGCAAGGTGTACAAGGCTGATTTGGGTATACATATATTTACACGCATAACTTTTACTGACTCAAGCTGCAAAATCGAATATGTATTTTTGTTGACAAAGCATTAGGAATAGTTTGTTAACGTTGGACCAAAAGTTTGAACAAAATGTATATTTTTTTCCATATGTGTTTGTACATTTATCCATTTGTGGTCAAGGCTTGTGCCAGAACCTTGAAGGGTGAGCTACTGTTGTAGGCTTCCACGAGGCTGTGGGAGACGTGCTAGCTCTGTCTGTGGCCACCCCTAAACATCTACAGAAGCTCGGTCTGCTGACAAATGTGGAGGAAGATGCAGGTAGGTTCTTTGCAGCGAGTGTTATGTTGATGTGAGGTAGAGGAAGATGCAGGTAGGTTCTTTGCAGCGAGTGTTATGTTGATGTGAGGTAGAGGAAGATGCAGGTAGGCGCTTTGCAGCGAGTGTTATGTTGATGTGAGGTAGAGGAAGATGCAGGTAGGCGCTTTGCAGCGAGTGTTATGTTGATGTGAGGTAGAGGAAGATGCAGGTAGGTTCTTTGCAGCGAGTGTTATGTTGATGTGAGGTAGAGGAAGATGCAGGTAGGCGCTTTGCAGCGAGTGTTATGTTGATGTGAGGTAGAGGAAGATGCAGGAAGGCGCTTTGCAGCGAGTGTTATGTTGATGTGAGGTAGAGGAAGATGCAGGTAGGTTCTTTGCAGCGAGTGTTATGTTGATGTGAGGTAGAGGAAGATGCAGGTAGGCGCTTTGCAGCGAGTGTTATGTTGATGTGAGGTAGAGGAAGATGCAGGAAGGCGCTTTTCAGCGAGTGTTATGTTGATGTGAGGTAGAGGAAGATGCAGGTAGGCGCTTTTCAGCGAGTGTTATGTTGATGTGAGGTAGAGGAAGATGCAGGTAGGCGCTTTGCAGCGAGTGTTATGTTGATGTGAGGTAGAGGAAGATGCAGGAAGGTACTTTGCATCGAGTGTTATGTTGATGTGAGGTAGAGGAAGATGCAGGAAGGTACTTTGCATCGAGTGTTATGTTGACGTGAGGTAGAGGAAGATGCAGGTAGGCGCTTTGCAGCGAGTGTTATGTTGATGTGAGGTAGAGGAAGATGCAGGTAGGCGCTTCGCACTGAGTGTTATGTTGATGTGAGTGTGTGTTGATTTACGCCGGAGTATTTCACGGCCTTACCAACACACCCTGTGAACAAACCAGAGAAACAAGTATTGAACCTGTTGGTTGGTTTGTGGTACAAGGGCGTTTAGCATTGATAATCCCAACAACGGTAGAGTCGTAACGTTTTGGGACATGTGTGGTTCTCTTCAGAGTAATTGTATTTGAGAAAAATGGGACACCCCATTTACTTGTGACTTAAAGTATTCATACATTATACTCACAATATGTATTTGCGTCATTTGAAAGGCTGTGAATTTCTTTTGTATGTATGCAGGGCCCGGTCCACAAAGCGATCATAGCGCTACGACTGTCATAAGCTTATGGGCCCATAAGTATGGGAGTTACGATCATCTTAGCGCTACGATCGCTTTGTGGAACAGGGCCCTGGTGTGTTAACAAGACAAGCACATATCACACAGCCGGGTGTCAGGTGACAAGGTGCGATACTTGCTCTGACCTAGGTTGCTGTTACAGGTCGCTCTTTAAATCAATAGACGGTGTTAGCGGAATAGCGATTCAAAACAAAGGAAGCTTTTATATACAGAAGACTGAAATTAAATGTATTCTCGGACCTCGTGGTACCGCGGCATTCATGGTATCGCGGCATTTGTGGTTTCCGGTAGTTCACGCGGGACACGCCTCTTTGCGGCTGTCTATTAATGCAAATCGGTAACCAGGAAGTGCTCGTTCCGTAAACAATTTCAATTTCCTTGGAAGGTGGCTCCGTCTGCTTTACGTAAGGATATATTAACGCGTTGATACTTACTTTTGGCATCTTTTTAATATTGCCTGACCCCTCATCTATCAGTGGACAACGATATTACCCTCAGTTTCCCAAGAAAACTTTCTCTAACGACCTGCACTAGATCATCTGCATATTCATGGCGACCAATGAGGTAACAGAAGTTACGTAGTCCGCACAGTTGTTCCCGCTCTGTGGCCAGAATTTATATTAGGAGATCATAAGGGCCATAATGCCATACTTAGGAATCCGTTCTTCACTAGTAGCCAAATGATAAATACATACTTTTGGCATACTAGAAGTGCTTTTTATATACTTATTGTTAACTTTTAACATTTCCCCACTTTTGTGACAAATTATTGTCATCCAATTTTTTAAACAAAAATCTATCATTTCTGATATTTTGTTGTTGATTTTAAAAAATATTTTTTTCTTACTTTCACGGTAAATATGCACTGAATACCTATTACTGATAACACATTCAGAATTTTACTTGTGTTGTCTTTGCACTTGTCTGGACAAATCACTGAAGTCTGGCATCATCATACTTATATTAGTGGTTGGTGTCCTGTTTTTGTCCAATTCGGATCTCCATAGACAACTTTTCTCTGGAACGGGGTACGATGGAGTTCTCTCCCTTGTCAAACCCAGCGCGAGGCCCGGCTTTTACTCGGAGCTACTAATGTAAATAATGAACTTTTATCAGTAAAATATGCATTGTTTGATAAAATAAATGACATCTGATATAGAGAACACGTAATCATAAAGGTTAGTGAGTGCATTTTGTTCCGTTTTGCGTACATAACAAGTACCGCGATACCCCGAGGTTGCAGACTACAGGTATTTCTCACCACATGCATAGTTCAAGGGGTGTTTTGTTTGTTTGTTGTTTAACGTCGCACTCAGCAATATTCCAGCGGTATGACGACAGTCTGTAATTAATCGAGTCTGGCAAAGACATTCCAGCGATTGACATCATGAACATCGATCTACGCAATAGGGATTCGCTGACATGCATCAACCAAGTCAGCGAGCCTGACGACCCAATCCCTCTAGTCGCATTTTACGACAAGCATAGTCGCCTTGTATAGCAAACATGGGTTGCTAAAGACCTGCTCTACTCCGGATCTTCACGGGTATTGAAGGGTGTAGTATGAATACTAGTTGACCAAGTTTTAAAAACACTACTAGACTTTCGTCCTGTCGGTCATAATCTTGCCACTATTGATTCTATAAACTATTTTTTCAACCACCTTTGTAGAAAGCGACATCAACTACATGTTGAGCATGGCACTAGACAAGATCGCCTTCCTCCCGTTCGGCTACCTGATGGATCAGTGGCGATGGAGTGTGTTCAGTGGGGAGACGCCACAAAGCCTCTACAACACCAAGTGGTGGGCCCTCAGGTAAGTCAGGATTAGAGATTAGAGGATTAGTGTATACGTTGACTTTGATTTGACCATTGTACTGTGACAATGCTCTTAAGTTCTTTCTACCCGTGCTCGTGGGTTTCAACGAAGTGGTAAACGTCTGAGACCTGCATCACTTCGGGCTTTCCTCCTACATTAAGCTGACACGCCGCGATATAACTGGAATACTGTTAAAAGCGGCGTTAAACCAAACTCACTCACTCTCCTTTTCTTAAAATGCATTTTCTTTCACTATAAATGGCATTTCCCCAGAAACCACTTGACCACTAAAACTGAATTTTCGCATGCTTGTGTCCCATTTTCAATCTGGCCACCACGGCAGCAGAACTGAAAAAGCTATTAGTACCTATTTCACCACAAAATCCTAACATGAAATGCTTTCAAATTCTATGAAATTGCATTTTGACTCTGTAATTGTAAGTCGCTGTGGACTCGTAAAGATCCGGGGTAGAATAGGTATTTGGCAACCCATGCTTCCCGTAAAAGGCGACTATGCTTGTCGTAAGAGGCGACTGACGGGATCGGGTGGTCGGGCCGCTGATTGGTTGATGCATGTCATCGTATCCCAATTGCGTGGATCGATGCGCAAGATGTCAATCACACCGCCATCCTATAGCTGGAATATTGCTGAGTGCGGTGTTAAACAACAAACATTCAGTCTATGTAATTACTGTGTACCTTTCTCGCCCGAAATTGCCAGACTGAAGAAGCTCAATTTTGTCATAATATTTTCTTAAACTCATTGGGCGTGCATATTTAAAACTTCTATGAAATATCGTATGACATCACAAAGAAATAATCTCCTCATAAGGTTTCAGGACTTGTAATTTTGAATAAATTAAAATCAACTCCTTTTTAACCAACAATTTTATATTATGAAAATATATTCTAGCTGATTTAGAAACATTGTGAAGATTAAGTTACCTGTTATTTATAAACTTTATTTATACTCACGCTGAAAATATTAGAAAAGCAATGCTGATACTAACCTTTTCATACTATATTTCCTAGTTATACCTGAGCAAATCTGTACATGTGTTGCACGTACAATGTTTTTTTTTAAGTATGTTTATTCAGAGGTAGCTTCATACACCTTTCAGATGCCGATACCAAGGTATTTCTCCACCAGTAGAAAGGTCCGAGAACGATTTTGACCCCGGCGCAAAGTACCACATCCCCGCTAATGTACCATACATCAGGTACTTACATTCAAGATGTTCTTTCTGTGTGACATACATCAATGTAGCCTCTGCTTCCTAGTCACATACTCTGGGATCCATCACGAGTCTGTGTCAATGACATATTCTTTTCCCAGCTTTAATACAGGGATTCAAGGCATTCAAGTACAAAATAAGCACCGTAAAATAATATACCATCATTTCCAAAGGGGTATATGCCAATCGGGGCACAATAATATACACATAAGTATTATGCTCCAGTATATTCATGTTATAGTTCCTCCTATTAGTGTCGATCCAGGTACATATACCAGTCTTCATGTTCCAGATACTTCGTGAGTTTCGTCATCCAGTTCCAGTTCCACAAGTCGCTGTGCCAGGCAGCCAATCAGACCGGGCCTCTACACAAGTGCGACATCTACCAGTCAAAGGAAGCTGGCAAACTCCTTAGGTATGATCGTTGAGTCGCCTCTTAACAAGCATAAGTTGCCAAGCCGTGCGGCTACGTTGACACGCCTTCAATCAAGTCGCCCAAACTGGCCATCTGATCGATTCATAGCCTCTGAACAAGCATGAGTTGCCACGCCGTGCGGCTACCTTGACACGCCTTCAATCAAGTCGCCCAAACTGGCAATCTCATCGATACATAGCCTCTTAGCAAGCATATGTTGCCACGCCGTGCGGCTACCTTGACACCCAAACTGGCCATCTGATCGATTAGTAGCCTCTTACGACCAGCATAAGTTGCATGGAACCAATTCTAACCCGAAATCACAACGGATCCCCAATCGTTTATATTATTAAGGTTATCACCTTTATTTTCAGTCGTGTCCTGGAGCTTGGTAAATCTCGACCGTGGCCGGAAGCTATGCAGATACTTACTGGACAAAACAAGATGGACGCCAGACCGCTCATGGAGTACTTCCAGCCGCTCACTGATTGGCTGAAAGATCAGAATAAAGGTTACAGGACAGGTTGGGACCACATGTGCCCGGGTTCCATCCCGATTCCTACCTCTGCAACCTCAATCAGAGTCACATACGGTCTTCTGTTGGTTACCATAGTCACTGCTGTCCTGAGTTATATGTGAAGCTCTGGCTATTATCATATAGATGGTTCTGCTACCGCAGAAGTAGAGTGTTGGTTGTTTCACATTGGGAAGCAATGACTGCGTCAACTTATTCCAAGTCCTGTCATATTAGAAAGCCTTTGATTTATAACTCTATTTATATATCTATCTTCTTGCATGAAGGCGGACCCGTCATCATATTTTTGGGGGGAATAAGATCCTCACGAGTGTGGTTTGAAAATCGCACACAGGTTAGAGTATTTACAAGAATCAGCATTGACGGATATGCAATCTGGATACATCTCTGTCACGTCATAGGTCCATTTTTATATCTAAAAACTGTTCGTTTATGCTTGATGTTTTAGTTGCTTCACAATGGAAAGCAATTACTGCCTCAACTCTCTCAAGTCCTGTCGTACTATATAATACTTTTTGATAAAGTATCTTCTGTCAGGAATTAGATGTTCACTGGTGTGGTCTAAAACCTGTCCATATGTCTGTCAAGTTATAATTCTATTAAATGACTATAAATATTCTTCTGATGCCTTTGAGTTTCTTTGCGAACAACCTGCTGTAGTTTTAATGCTGACCCAACATTAAGAATAGACATGACAAGTAACCATATTCGCAATTATTTCAATATTTGGCAAATACACATTACACATAACACAGGAACACATAACCAAAATATTCCGTTCTATTGTGTACGGGCGAACCCTTATAACATGCCTAAGATATTAATGATTGCACGGCTTGTAAGGTAGTATAAATACTCCCTGGTTGGTCCTGTTAACAGTGAGTGATCAAGTGAGTTGGATTTAACGCTTCTTTTAACAGTATTCCAGTTCTATCGCGGCCTGTCAGTTTAATGTGGGAGGAAAGCCCGAAGTGATGCAGGTCTCAGACGTTTACCACTGAGGTGAAACCCACGAGCACAGGTAGGGTGCTAACAAACCTAGACACATAATCGGGGCGAACCAGGATTCGAACCCACAATCATAGGTGTCTGGCGTGCCCAAGGGACGCAACTCTGCACAGCGAATCGCGGTGCCGTAGACGACTGGGCCACCCGTGCCCCCCTACCTCTTGTTTTCCGTTCCCAATTTGTATATGGATTCACCCGTGCGCACCCATACACAAGTTTGTGAACGAAAGATGAATGGTCATTAGCTCCATGAGAGACCTGCGCTGCATGTCTTAAGGGACCGACCATTTGATATTCGAAAAAAAATAAGTATGCTTCAGACTGTTGCAAAAAGAAATTGTCTGTCACAACTTACATTGCTGCATGTTTCTTATAAAGGATTAAATTAAAAACATATCTGGTTATGCCGCTGTAGCTGATAACATACGGGGTATTTAATCTCAAGACAAAATACCAGGACCCCCAGGATTCGAACCCACAATCATAGGTGTCTGGCGTGCCCAAGGGACGCAACTCTGCACAGCGAATCGCGGTGCCGTAGACGACTGGGCCACCCGTGCCCCCCTACCTCTTGTTTTCCGTTCCCAATTTGTATATGGATTCACCCGTGCGCACCCATACACAAGTTTGTGAACGAAAGATGAATGGTCATTAGCTCCATGAGAGACCTGCGCTGCATGTCTTAAGGGACCGACCATTTGATATTCGAAAAAAAATAAGTATGCTTCAGACTGTTGCAAAAAGAAATTGTCTGTCACAACTTACATTGCTGCATGTTTCTTATAAAGGATTAAATTAAAAACATATCTGGTTATGCCGCTGTAGCTGATAACATACGGGGTATTTAATCTCAAGACAAAATACCAGGACCCCCGACCCCTACCCCCCCCCCCCCCCCCCCCCCCCCCCCCCCCCCAACATCCACATGTATGAATTGTTCGGTCCCTATTTGAAAGGTGGTATAGCTGGTATAATACTGACAGCAGTGATAACTTCACTCGCTTATTCTCTTTTGGATGGACGTTGAGAATATTTCCTGAAAGAGACTATCCAGATATCTAACAGCAGAAATTGAGCCAATGTTTCTTAGCCTGACTACAATATATGAATATGTCACGCGTTTCAACATAACAATGCACATAAGCAACTGATGAATAAGTAACGAAATAAACTAATAAAATGTTTTGATCTACATTAGGTCCATCTAGATAAAATTGTGCTTACGATAAACGAAAACTCCAATACACATATTCCAAGACAATTTTAATTATGGATTTCCTTTCCTTTCACATAAACTTCACCCACAAAACTGAGTTTGATCATTAGCTCCGCACTTGTCCCGTGTATATTTGTTTGGTGGATATGGATACACTTCGCGCACAAGTATTAAAACACAATCTGGCATCACTTCCCGTTTGTCCACACCAATCCTTCATCTGCTGCTACGTTTAATGTCCGTTTCTTCAAGTCCGAGTATCTACGGTCTCTCCAAACAATTATTTAGCTCAGTCCAGAAGTATTGGTAGCACTGCTTTCGAATCGACGAACTTCTGCAACATGGTAGCCGCGCGATTTCCTAACTGCGATTGCCTGTGTTGTGTCACGCATGGTTGACAAAAGCAGTGAACAGACATATTCTTGGTTGGTTAGTTTGTTGTTTAACGCCGCACTCAGCAATATTACAGCTATATGACGGCGGTCTGTAAATAATCGAGACCAGACAATCCAGTGATTGACATTATGAGCATCGATCCACGCAATTGGGATTGATGACATGCATCAACCAAGTCAGCGAGCCTGACCACCCGATCCCGTTAGTCGCCTTTTACGACAAGCAAAGTTACCTTTTACGGCAAGTATGGGTTGCTAAAGACCTATTCTACCCCGGAATCTTTCACGGGTCATCTGTCATAATGTCAAAGCCTCGACATTCTTCCTGGTCAGTCTTCAACAATGAAATACACACAGCCTGATTCACGGCGTTATCACAAGAGTCCCTCCAGATAACAACCCAGGTGATCAGGGTAACGACCTTTGGGTGAATTAATAAATCAATTTGCATTTTTAGAAAAGAAATGTTTCCGTGAATATTATTATTTAAAAAACACATCCTGTACATGGTACTTTTGGGTTGCACTGCGGATTACTTTCTCAAACCTTTTGTTTCCCCCCTTTCTGACCACGCGATCTCCTAGCAACCACGCCTCATGAGAGCATCTGTCAAGTTCGCTTGTCTTCAATATGATCAACAAAACATTTTCATGTGACGCCTAATATAAACGGCGAGTTGTTCGAGATGACCAGGGAGCTTTTGGTAATTTCGATTATGACAATGGTGACTCGAATCCACAAGAAGGCGACTGCCCTTGCAAGTGCAACAGAAACTTTGACAAATTCAGTGCCTGTGGTGATTTTTGGCAAGTCTGCCAGATTGTATGAGTGCTTCACTATATTGAGATCTGTATGCCATGTAGAGTTATCTCCCTGTACTAAATGCCGCGTGTTCATAGGTGTATGAACGACACAATTTGACGTTCATACGTTTTTCACGAGACCGTGTTCTTGAAATGACGTCAACACTGACGGACTACTTCGACATACCTGGGGAAACCCCTGGGAATTCCCTAGCACGAAAACATATAAGCGTTCTATCTGATCATTTAGAACCTAGTCTCAGCGTTTCAGTATACATTGAGAAATGTCACAGAGCGTGACTGCATGATTGTTCACGAATATCCTAATGAACAAACGAAGAAATGCACATCTAAACTATCGTAATATCGACTCGATCCGTGTCTAGGCTGACACTGACCGTCTCCAGCAATCTATGAATTTACCTTAGTGTCTGTTTGACGAATCTTTATTGAGCTTTCAATGATCGGCCAGTTGATCAATGATGACTAACACATGTAACCGCCACAGGGTCATTAACAACTTCGGAAATCTCTCCCGTCACGTTTATCGTGTCGGCCATTTTGACGTCTTGTACTTCATGTAAATGTATTAGGACGCGCTGTCATTGTGACTGACTTACTGAGATGGTTCTCTACAGATTTTTCTCATCGAATGAGGATATAATTTGAACATATGTGCTGCGTAAGATGTTTCTGAAGAGCAAGTTGTGCATCCATACGCTCATGTCACCTCTCTTTTTGAGGAACCATTTTCTCCGGATATAGCTGGTTGTTGTATGGCTGTCAATGTAAACATAAAATCACACGTATTAAATAAAATTGTTTTTAGAACTTGGCCTACATCCTTTGAGGTAAGAAATTGTGATAAAAAAATTATAGGAACTGACTTTCACTTTGTGCGAGTTCATTGGAGTATGAACCTTCATAGAGTGAGGGCTAAACATTGTTTGAACGTCGTCGCAAGCTCTGATGTTCATACAGTTTGGCCCTCACTCTAAGAAGGTTCATTTAAAGATTGACTGTGTATTTTTTTCGGTTCATTGAGGTATGAATCGAAAAACCGATGTGCAAACTGTATGAATCCGCTTATAATTAAATTCGACAACGAAAACATATAATAGTTTAACCAAAAACAGTTGTTTATATAAAAGCAGACAAAAATGACGACATTGATAAACATTCTCGGTGTAGGTATACATACTGTGGCGTGACATGAATCAGGTGATTGTTTAATTTATGCACATAACTTGACACGCCCACACAGTCAGTAGCCAATCAACGGAGAGTAGGGTTATAACAAAGTTCATAGCACCTGTTAATCAAGGAAAGAGGTGAGAAGAACTGCAAGTCAGACTGTAACGAGCCGGAACAAATATGTCCGGAAGAAGGCAGCTGTTTCAAATGACATAGTCAGTTACCGCCAGAATCGAACATTAGAGAACATCTGAGAACGGGAAGACCCAGTTGGAAAAATGCTAGTTAGGAATGAAACCTGAAGAAATGAAAGTTGTGGCGCCGAGAGCGGGACAAAAACAGGTGAGCGAGTCTGCACATTTGCTGTTTCATTCCTTCTCGGCCTTCGGTCTCAGGGGTTGTATGGACAAGGAATATGCATGAATTTCGCTTAATGTCCAGTGCATTGCGATACACGTGAGCAGAATGGGAATTCCCTCGCATGTGATATTAGGATTACATTCATTGGGAAATGAATACAAAAACACGTGACCAATTCAGGTAATCAGAATGCAGGAATTTCAATGAACACAAGGAAAATTTAATTATACTCCAATGAACTCACACAAAGAGAAAGTTCATTCTTAATTGATCCCATGCAGTCAGTGAATCTATTTTCTATAGATACAAGAGTTACCTGTGATTCAAGTTAACCCACATAACATTACAGTGCCGATTCTTGGGATTAGTGAATCAGTGCCACAGGAGATTTCATTGTGGAACCAGATGAAGGCGAATATGTCTGTTCACACCGCTTTTGTCAACCATGCCTGTTCACACCGCTTTTGTCAACCATGCCTGACACAACACAGGCAATCGCAGTTAGGAAATGGTGCGGCCACCATGTTGCAGAAATTCGTCGATTCGAAAGCAGTGCCACCAATACACATGTACCTCTGGACTGAGCAAAACAGACGGATTGTTTGGAGAGATAATAGATACTCAGACTTGAAGAAACGGATA